GCCAAAGTTTTGGGTTTACATGTACTTTATTTGGAACGCCAGACAGAACTTTTGGTCATATCTGTTGGGGAAGTGTGTGTGACGCAGTTACAGAATGCATGGTGTTCTATGAATTGAAGGGATCCCGTGGTCTCAAGCCTTGTCACTTCTATAGTTCACGCCTTCACCTTTAGAGCACCGTGTGGTGTCTGGGACGGGTATCTGTTTGACTTGTTGAAGTGGAATAATGCATGTCTAACACATGGTAAGTGTTTAGCTCGGCCCTCCTGAAGCTTTCCCTTAATTCTGGTACAATTCCTGCCTGATGCAGCTAAAGCCAGAGCTCTCTGTGCCCGTTGCCAGGTCTATTTTTCGCTCTGTCCTCTTTGCGGCAAGGGAGGGGTTGCCAGGTTTGTGCGCTTCACATGTCTGTGTCCTCATTTGACATGACCCAAAATGCATGATGACCTCTCCTGACCTCCTCTGTCCCGGAGATAGGAACCCTGGCTCTTGCTGGAGCAGATCTGTTTAATAGCCAAGTCCTGCACAGATTGCTGCAGCTCTGACACGCCTGCGATCTGCTTCGCCCAACAGAGGGACACTTACAACTGTCAGGCTTGTTAGAGCCTTCAGTGGATGGTGTGTTCGTTAGTTTGCTTTTTTTTTAAACTTATTTACTACTTTAGACAATTTACATTGAAATGTAATTATTTTTGTGAAAGAGGTTCTATTCTAGCCTTCTACACTGCTATAAAAATGTTACTTGCAGTGTTGCTGTTAGAGGGCCCATTTGCATCTTTTTCGGGTGTTAAGGTGTGTTGCATTAAGGCAGCCCAACATGCTTACAATTGCTTATGACCCCTTTTCTGCAGCACCTTCGAATGTTGGACGGCCATTTCAAATGTATGACACCGCAGTAATTATTATTATACAGGATTTATAGAGCGCCAACAGTTTGCGCAGCGATTTACAATATAGGGCAGACATTACAATCACAATACAATTCAAGACAAGATGGTAAGGAGGGCCCTGACCCTGAGGGCTTACAATCTAAAGGGAGGGGGAAGTGATACATGAGGAGGGACTTGTGTTACGTACTTGCCTGTGTATTAGTGACATAAGAGGAGGAATCGAACTAGTGAGCTGGTTCATGAGGAAGTCTGAGGTAGATGCAGAAGACCCATTCCTGATCTGAGTGTGAGGAGTTGGATTGGGTGATCATTTTGTAGAAGGGTGGCCTAAAGTGTCACAAAAACTCCAGAGTTAAATCTTAAAAATCCATTCAAGTACCTTATCTATGAGCAACAATGTATCTTATCTGTGTATCACTCGGCTGTAGATCCTCCAATCGTCTCTGAATTGGTACCGACACACTGTCCTTCCTTCTGGAGGGGGGCTACGTCTGTTCCCCATGGTCCCTGTGTGTGGTGGGAGTCCAAGGTCCCTCCCGGGATGGACTACAATCTCAATACAAATGAGTAAACTAAACCTCCAGAAGGAGTCCATCCCGGGAGGGACCTTGGACTCCCACCACACACAGGGACCATGGGGAACAGACGTAGCCCCCCTCCAGAAGGAAGGACAGTGTGTCGGTACCAATTCAGAGACGATTGGAGGATCTACAGCCGAGTGATACAGAAATAAAATGGATGGTCAATAGTTAAGGTTTTTGAATGTATTTTTAAGCAAAAGTGCTAACCACTAAGCCACTGCGCTGCCCGTTAAGTTCATTAAGTGGACCTCCAGATTCCCTGCATGTTTGTCAGTGGTGCTATAAACAATATGTGCGTTGGACTTTTTACAATTGTAATTGTATATTTTGTTGGTGAGAATTTACGATGACATGTTTACGGTTGATTTCCAGTAATGTCTTGAAGAAAAATACTTCTTGCTTCATAGATTTTAAATAATTTATCCGCTTTAAATTGCCAGAAGTCAGGATGAGATCTTCATATTGGCAATTAGTAACGTGACTTCACTATTCTGTCTGATTTAACTCATCTTTTCTCCCGTACTTTGTGTATTTTGTTGATAGTGTAGTTGGATTAAGATTGTTGCAACCTGTGTAGTACTTTTCTGGAATAAAGTTTAAGTTGTCTTGATGCATTTTGCCTTTTTTAACCCTCAGTGTTATATTATTATTGATGTCAAAAGACGGTTTTAGGAAGGAATGCTTGTGGGCCAGGTGGAGCGAAAGTGCTCCTGAAACAGTGATTTTTGTACAGCATTCTTTGGTGGGTGAAGCAAATTCCTTTAGATTCCCACCTCCCTAATGTCTAGCAAACCAATCAGTTCATGATTCAAATTTGGGCTTTTACCAAATGCACTGCCTGGCCAAAAAGTCTCGCATTTTAATATTACGTTGGACCAACTTATGGCACGCCTTTGCCCTGGCATCGTTTCCATAAGCTTATACAATGTCAACATTTATTTCTGCCCAGAGTTGCGTTAATTTTTCCCCAAGATCTTGTAGTGATGATGGGAGAGTTGGACCTCAGCGTAAAAGTCTTATCCAGCACATCCTATGATGGGGTTAAGGTCTGGACTCTGTGGGGGCCAATCCATGTGTGACAATTTTTACATTCTCCCTGAACCACTTTCACAATTTGAGCCCGATAAATCCTGGCATTGCCATCTTGGCCCAATGTGCCATCAGGGAAGGAAAAATATCCATTGATGGAGAAACCTGAATTCAGTATATTCAGGGGGGCAGCTGACCATTTTTTGGGCACATTATGTTGCTGAACCTAACTGAAGCAACCCCTTATAGCTCTTACCTATTTGCTTAGCTAAATCTAGGTGGTGACTTTTTTTTTTGGCCAGGCAGTGTATTTGGTTTTTCCTTTTTTAAGGTTGACTTAAAAGGTGACCAGGGAACAAATGCTTTTGCTCCTGATTGGTTTCCTGGAAGATAAAGACCAATGCCTCATATCTGTAGTCTTTGGTTGTAGACAGCTGTCGCTTGCTCTTCTGGGGCATTTACATTGGCTTTTTTTGTGTGTATATCTGAAAAATGGCGTTCAGATGTTAAAAATACCTTTTGTTTTGTTTTTTTTTTTGCAAGTATATGAGGAACATTTTTCACTTGAACGCTGGAGCAGCCGTTTGCGGTTTAGTTACCAAGTTGAACGGTTGGATGTTCTATTTTCCGATGAAATATTGGCTATTGCTTCACGAGTCAAGGAGTGCATTGCTCCTGTTGCATGCTGGGTAATGCTTATTCCACTCTCGGCTCTTGTTTGAACCAGATCTATCCTGACGGGAGTAGTCAGATTTTGCTAAACGTGTTTAATTGGCATGTGGCCAGCCAACATCAATCTTCACAATGTTCTGGATTACACCAGCTATGCGGAAAGTCAACTTTCTGCGCACAAGGCTGTCCTTGGCAATTCAAACTCCAACCCTTCCACCCCCCACCAAATAAATATGGATTCTTAAAAAGATTGGGCTCCAGCTGGGAGATTAATTTTGTAACTGTGCCTTGAAGCGCACGATAGGCATAGTAAAGTGGATTAGCAGTTGTGCTTGGCGACTTCCTACTGAGCAAAATTCTTCATTGCCATAGCAGCAAAATTACATTTGGTCGAGCCTCGGCGTGTAGTGACGTATGTACACTGAATGCCAAAAAATCTGCTCAAGGGCTGGGCCAGGAATATTCAATCCTTAATAAATGATCCTGTGGAGGAATAATCTACACCAGAACAATTTAACTAGCTTGTTGCCCAACTGGTCAACATGGACCTAAAGGTTGTTGTATTGCCATGCTTTATGATACTAGTGTTTTTTATAGTTGTGTCCATATTTTAAAAAGCAAAATAAATTGGGTGCAGTTTTTACATGGGATGAGCCACACTTGCATATGTAGGCTCTACTTACTGGTTTGTTTGGTCAGCAATCCCAGTAGAAAGATTTACCTTCACTTTGTCTTGTCACCCTAAGAGGAAGGATTGGACACCGTGTAGAGAATTAAGGCAAATCCCCCCCCCCTTACTGGGTGAGCAGTCAACAATAAAAACCTAAACTCTTCTGAATCCAATAATTTTGGGCTTACACTTTACTGTACAAGTGATCTGTGCCTGAAATACCTGTCAAAATGTGAAACCGCAAGCAAGTAAATATTGAGTCATCAAAAAGTTTCAGGTTATCTTTGCAATCGCTCTAAATATGTACTTGGTGACATTATAGTCTTCAGTTTCCATGTTAAAACTTGCATGCTACCTCTGCATTGAAATGCTGTGGTTCTCACAGGACAGATCTAGGTATAAAGGTAGGTTGTAAGCCATATATTGCATTGGGAGGTAAATGCTATGTTGTCACCAGTTTATAGTCTAGGTTTCATAAGGTGCACTCCCTGGTTCCCATCTCTAGCTCCATTCCTAACAGCAGAGCCACAGCTGTCTCAATTGGACGTAGTCCAGTGAGATCTGCCTGCTGAGGTGACATGCGTGACAAAGACCTGGCTAGGAGGGCTCCAGTGGTTGCATGCTTCTGGTCATTGACTCTAGGCAGTGAAGCCAGCATCAGAATGACTACCCCAGAGCCTGCAGAGAAGCAATGCTAAAGGTCATGCGAGCCCCTAAAGCATTTGCCATAATGTGCAACTTTGAACAGTATACTTGCACATTATGGCAGACTTTTGCCCTAGTTTGGGTTCCTTCAAGCTCCCCCTTGTCCCTGCTGCTTCCAAGTTTAGCAGAAAAAGAAATGTTGGACTATTAATGGACTAAAAATGTGAACTGAATGGATGGAATTGTTATGTAATTTGTTTGGTCAGCAAGGCCTTTTTCTGCAGACACTAGAGTACATGTCTCTAGTTAATAGGCAACCAGCTTGGCCTTGTAGCGCTGCTCATTTTATCTTATTAGGGATGAATTGCTGCCTTCTTTTGTGTTTAGGTTTAGTTCATGTGTGGCGGGTTGCAATTGATACATTACTTTTGGAATGTTGGCTGATATGTTATATTTTCCTTCTGCGTGTGCAGCAGAACTGCATACTAACCTTTTTTTGTTTTTGCTTTTTAGTGACGTCCTTGCTCTGCCAATTTTTAAGCAAGAAGAGCCTCCCATTTCGCCAGACACGGATGCAAAGCTGCCCCCATTCCAGTATGTCTTGTGCACAGCTACATCTCCTGCTATTAAACTCCATGAAGAGACCCTGACATATCTCAACCAAGGTATGGAGCCACGTTGCGTAGGTTGTCATCCTGTGAACTGTGGTAGTTGGTAATTTTCATGACGTTAACCTGTCTTGTCTTTTTTATCCTGCTTGTCTGAATTTTAAGTGTTGAGTTGAAGGCACTTGCTAGCTGGATAAAGACCAACCACTTGGAGGTGCGGCATGCAGGAGCACATCAGAAACAATCTACATGAGCCTTCCCACCTCTTCCAGTGTAACCGCCGCTGCAGGCCAGGTTCCCCCTCTACACGTCTCAATGCTCATTTTCACTTGACTTGTGGTCGGCCCTGACGTGGGTTTAGAATACCCCTTTGGTCTAATGTTACTATTTTCCTAGGTGGTTGCTTAATTACATTTTGTGTTGGATGCTAACAAATGCCAAATACATACATACATACATACATACATACATACATACATACATACATACATACATACATACATACATACATACATACATACAGTCCAAAATGGGACTAACTATCTGAATTTTTACTCTTCTTGCCAAATACTGTTACTCTAAAACAGTTCTCTGGCAGAGTATGCTTGTAAAATGAGTAAATTGCCATACACTAGAGATGCACCGAAACTAGTATCTGTGCCGATACCAAGTATTTGGGAGAGTGCTCGTTCTCGCCCTAATGCTCCGATACTGGAACTTCCAATTAGAGGGAGATCTCCCTCTGACCGGCAGTGCCAAGAGAGCATGGAGCCGGCTTCCTCTCCAATCAGGAAGCCGGGCAGCGGATTATGACCTGCCTCCTGGCTTCCTGATTGTCTAGAAAGCAGGCTTCACTTGTTGCTAGGCCACCTGGTTTCCTGACCAGGGAGGCGGGTCATGACGTCCTGCCTGCTTCCTGATTGGATAGGAAGCCAGGTTGCCTACCAACAAGTGAAGCTGGCTTCCTAGCCAATCGGGGAGGCGGGTCATGACATGCTGCCGGCTTCCTGATTGGTCAGGAAACAAGGCTGCCTAGCAACAAGTGAAGCAGGCTTCCTAGCTAATCGGGAAGCCGGGTGGCACATCATGGCCTACCTGATTGGTCAGGCAGGTGAAGCCGGTGTTTAGATAGAACACCGGCTTCCTGAGAATCTGGGCACACCACACCAGTACCGGTACTCTGTATCCGAGAGTACCAACAAAAAAAAAATCGGTACTCATACTTGATACCGAAAAAACGGTATCGGTGCATCCCTACTGTACACAATGCAGGCCTGCACATAAAGCATCATGACAACCTGACTTGCACTTAGAAAGAAATCACTGGATGTCACTATACAAAATGATTTCTACTATTCTTAGGATGTGTTCTATCTAACAGGATTCTCTGACATAAACCTAAGGCTGGTTTTGACCCCTTTCGGTTGTGACATGGAGCTGGCCCATTGTACACCTTATCAAGAGAAGTCCGTTTAATCTTTGTTTAGTTATAATCCTGCTGTAGGAATTCTATGACTTCATTCATCACCCCCTTAGTCTAGCGTACATTTACTGAGGAAAAGCTTGCTGGCAAAATGACACCTCCATGTTGCTAAAAAAAAAGTCTGACGCAGCTGGGAAGCTTGACTTTATTCTGGAGAAACACGTAAATATTTTTATAACAATCAATACATTTGGCTTTTTAACCCGTAATCTGTTATTTTGCAAAGATTGTCTGGTTTAGTACCAGTGACTGAATATTCCCATCCCATTAACCAGTCTGACTACCCAGTTTATACTTACACCCTGTCGTCTGTGCTTGTTCTGTGACTAACCAGTGAGTGTGGGCGTTCCCTTCTTACTAATACAGCCCTAATATGGCATGCCGGTCCTTGTCTTGATGTAATGAAGCTCTTCAGTGCCACAAGGCAGCTTCAAATGAAGACCTGACCTTTGCAGCCTATGCCCTTTAACCCTAATCCTGCAGGACAGACACTTCTGACTGATCTGATTGCATGATTCTACCCTGGCCTATTACCTCCTGCTTTCGGTTTGGTTTACTGTTGACTAATTCCACTACTGGACATGTCCATGATTTCCACCATTTATCCAATCGCAACCACCA